CAATTCAGAACGTGGAGAATCGTGGATCGGCCAACTGACGTAAGTGTATTTACGTCGACTTTCCGAAAGATACGAAAGCATTTAAAAATACACGATCGATCGCGGTTCGTGACCTTTCCCTAATATCTCGTCTTAATATCGTTTCGTCGCTGTCAACGCCAGGTATGAAAATACAGGACGACAAATATTCCCTCTGCCGTGTAAATACGCAAAAGTTGATTAAAATGAAAACAGAATAAATTAAAGATTAATTCTACGCAACTTGGAACTTTTATTGTCTCTGGGAAACGAAATAGCGATCGTTTATTTCGTATATTTATTGGGGAAAAAATTTTTACGAAAATTTCTATACATTAAAAAAACGCAGAAATATATAGAATATCCAAACTTAGTTTATCATAATATTCAATGGATAAAAATAAATTTCTATTTAGACTCTATTTATTCATCAAGGAAAAAATGCGTAAAAATCCGCAGCCTAATGGTAATGGGAAAAAAGTAGAAGCATTTCGAATCGCAGAGTGCTGACCTTTCCTCATGAAGAATGCCATTAGAGAAGAAGTTTCGGGGATGGTTCTCCCTATTAATCGAAAGCGCGCGATCGAAGAGAGTGAGGCGAAGGAGAGGAGGGCAACGAGTCGCTGAACAGGCGCCACGATCGTCCTTCAACTCTCCGCAGCGAGAATGAACGGGTTCACGGTTCACCCCTTCTTTCTATGCCAGTTCGTGGCCACCACGTCCCCCTTTTTCCCTCCCGTCCTTCCTTGCCGACCCGGGGTATATTATGATCTTGTCCAGAGGCAGACGGCCTACAGACTTAACGATCGATAGAGCTTTCCCCCGTTTCCTCCTCTCTTCACCAGAGGAGAACACAGTCCTCTTTCCCTTGTGCGACGCCGCTTGCACGCCGACCCCCCACCACCACTTCGTTCTCCCTCTACGCCAATCAGCTTGCGCCAGGCCAACGATGGCGCGGTACACGCAACGCGTTCTCAGTGGCGTCGAACAGCCGATTTAACCAGAACGAATGTCCAAACAATGGCACGGAATTGCGAGGGAAAAGGAATAATCGCAATTATATGTCTTTCACGTCAGAGATTTGAGTCCACTCTCGCGTGACTGGATATCGCAGAATTACAGCGAAATAATTCAATAGTTAATTGCATTGTCGATTTTCATTGTTTGACAACTGTCAAAACTGCTGGCCAACTCAATTACTAAAGAGACGGAATTACAAGAAATGGAGGGGACGTATGTAGCAAAGAATTTTATTTATATACATTTTGCGCCAGGGATGGAACAGCGAACGTAGTCGAAGTAGATAAAATGAAACTCGAGAGATATGTATAGCACAACTTGGAAGTTAAATGACATTATAGTGGGTTAATTTAACTTTGCGACGTACAAAGAAATTCCCCGTGTCGATTCGCAGGGCCTTTGAATATGCCGTTTGAAGTTGCATCAATTTCCAACTCTCTGCCACAAGTTTCTACCCTTTCTGTTCGTTTTTTATTTTATAAATAAAATGAAGCACTTCACTTTAGTATTTAAATATACATCATATTAAATAATTTTAGATATTGTTGCATGTAATTCTTCATTGTTCAAATTCCTTCAAATCTAACCTTAATAGAAATAAAATTAACGTAACAAGTCTTCATCAGCAGACAGAAATAACACGTATAACGACCCTGTGACCAAACTCGTAGTTTGCCAGTTATTCAGAACAAATTCCACCAACCGTCCGGATGGTAATAACATCCCGATAAGGATGAAGAATTCCTTCGTTGTATAAACAGACTGATTGCATCGAATAGCACCCTTATTTTTTTCCTCCACGTCGGTTTGAATAAAAAATGGGGAGACTCGGCGATGAAATATATCGGATCGGAGAAATGGAAACGCGTGGTGCAGCTGTGACATTCCCGACCTAGGTCCTAATTTCGCGAGGGTAGAAGGTCTGGATCGGTCGAAGATACCCTCTAAGGCGGAGCTCACACAGAACTGTCTGATATTCCAAACGTAAATTCTGTTTCGCGACTTCGCGCATCGTGCAATTTTAAATCGCAATTAAATGCAAACGAGTGAATTACAAAATTACAAAAGTACGATACAATTTCCACGAATAAAAGCGTAGATTCGCGGATTTGAGAGTCGACGACTATATATAAAGCAAAGTAAAGGAAAGTCGGTCGAGCGTGGCGTCGGGACGCATCCGGATTGCTAGTAGAAAGGAAAAGAGGAGTGTGCGAGCGAGGGAAAAGCTGAAGAAGGCTGGCGACACAGTGGCACCGGTGCAGCGGCCGAAATTTAAACTAGAGATGGGATCGAGTACCTCACAAGTACCTTCGAATCTTCAATCGTCGAATACCAATTCCAACAAGTATTTTTCAATACCACTTGCAAATGGCAAGAAGTCTAAGCGAAATGCAACAGTTTCGAATGTTTCCAATATCCCCAAGTAAACTCGAAGTATCTTATAAGTAGGTTCGAACCTCTCAAACCTGTCGACAGACATTCCTCACTGGACGAAGTATGCCTTTCTGTTTTTCTATACGCGATTTTCAAATGTTCCATTTGCGTCAGGCGCGTTTCGTAAATGCGTCTGGCGCGCATGCGTCAGATGCGCGTGCGTCTCGCGCGCATGCCTCCCAACACTTTACAGGAAAATTCCATCTTTATACACGTACAATGGCAATTCTTTTTTTCTTCTTCTTCTTCTAAAACGCGACTTTTAAATGTTGCACTCGTCCTTTGTCATCTTCCATTTTACTAAAAATCGCTTCAAACATCCCGACTGCAACTTAACTCGACGGTCAGTGAACAACGATTGACGATACCTCACGTTTTTTCGTTCAGAGGAATCTCCGAGCATCATGGAGTTTTTTCCAAACATCGAATGCGTTTTCGAAATCTGTAGTCGTCGAGGCATTTTTACTTTCGAGTGAGACACGTTGGACTTGATCCCATCCGTAGTTACGACGCCTAGCGCACGGCCAACTGCTCTACCGTCGGCCGCGTTTATTGATCGACCCGATGCAACCAAGCTGGGCCACAGCTGGCCGGGCCACAGCTTACCAACCTCGTTCGTTCGTTCCTTCGTTCCTTCGTTGGTTTGTTCGGTGCAAGTTCGAGCCGTCTGTATAGGTGCGCTACCTGTCTCTGTACAGTACACACCTATGATCTGTTTACTCGCTGTCGCGAGACCTATTTTCCACCCACCTAGACCAGCCAATTATCGGGATCTACGATCGAAAATTACACGAACCTTAGTTGGACAGGCACTTTATTACCGTTGCTCACGAAAGTATTCGAACATATACATATTTTCTTTTCTTTTTTATGAATATATATTGCGAGCGTTGTGTGAAACATTCTAGAATTTCATTAACACTGCGATGGAAAAATTAGAAATTGATACTCTTGGTTATCTTTTAACAGACGTAGAATTGAATGCTCCTTCTGTGCAGAATTTTCTAAAATTACGTTACTGCCTTCTGTTTCAAAATTCTAATTTTTCTAAATAATTAATTTTTCCTAGAAAATGAAATTAATTTCTGACAAATGACGTATCGTGTGAATTCATAGAATTGAGGTGCGATTTTCAAGAAAATTTTCTAGTATGCCTGAAAGATGAGACTTGAGAAAGAATCACAAAGAACAACAGAGTGACAGTGGTTCGTCCGCGAAGTAGAACGGTCGTAAAATAGAGAGAACATTTGAATAGAGTGGTTTTCCAGTAGTAGAGGATGCTAAGTTAAAGTCTGACTATGCGACCGTTACTACTGTAGACCAGAGAACGTACTGCAAAGTAGAAAATAGTTGACAGTAGCAGGCCAGCTCGGCGATGTCTGATTCTGATAGACCGTTTCTACTTGTTCCTACGCGGCCTGTACTAAGCCTCTGTAACTGGAAATTTGTTTCGTCGAAAGAGAAGCAAAAACAAAAATTAAAGAGAAACTATTCTGAAACGAATTTTCCTTTTTTTCAATTACTTTTCGAAAACTCTCCTAAAATATTTCCCCGTTTCGATTATCTTCCGAGATATTATTTCAGAATATTTCCTTTTCAACCAACATCCCCCCCCCCTAAAAGCTTTCCTAAACACTTTCCAAGCATTTCCCTCCTCTACCTTACAAATATTTCTACCATCTCGGTCGTTATTCCTCCAATCTAGATCCACGTTGTTCGCGCACAGAGGAAAGTTGTTTCTTTTATTTCTAGGAAAGGTGGCCTTTTCCTAGAAATAAACAAACACACACGGACAAATAAAAATTGCAGAGGTGCTGGATCGCGGCAACCCGATCGGACAATAGGTATCGACGAAATCTAAATATACGGACGTGTACCTTGCAGGCACGTCGACAGTCGTACGTATTGATTTAGTCCGATCTGTATGCGTACGAGGAGAGCTTTGTGCGGAGACACCGCTCAATAACCACCCCTTTACACTGGCTTTGGCCTTTGCCAGCCGACTTACATTTCCCTCGTCGTTGTCGGTGTCGTTAAAGGATCGTCCCTGTAAAATCGTCGTCAATTCGACGAAAATTGCATTCTTCTCGTAAATCTTGTCCATTAAACTGACTTTTAGTATTTCGAAAAAAAAATCCATCGTTAGATCGCTCGTGTTACTTCCCGTTTGTTGATTTCATGCTCCTTTGCTAGCAGTCTCCTTCTTTTTTTACGAGAGCTGAAATTTACACTCGGTGTTCAACAGTTTTTAGTGACAGCGAAGGTTTTCATTTTGACGGAACATTCGGAGGAAGGAATGTGATTTTCTCTCTCTTTTTTCTCCAGTCGTCGAAAATCTTGTTAACTAACACTGGAGAAAGTTCATAATTTTTCTCTTAGGCATTCGAACGTTTTCTCGCGAAACTCCGTGTTTCTTGTAATTTCTTCTATCTCCGTTTTCTTTAGTCGTTGCTGGTTAATAATAATTCGAAATATTTCGTTCGACGATTCGAAGAACGATAAGACACGGTATACAATAATACTGTTCCTTTCTATCGGAGATCTGGAAATTTCGTCTGGGAAGCAGAGATTGCGCGGTTGGTTCCGAGAAACGCAGGAAAACGCGACAGATAAGGAAGAAGACGCAAACAAGAAGAGAAAGAGAGAGAG